AAACCCTAAAACCCTAAAACCCTAAAACCCTAATTTATTATTTAAAATATAATTTTTGCTTTCTTATAATTAACTGTAAGCATGTGTATAGACTATTATATATTAATATTTTTTATAGAAAAAAATACTAATCTGATTTAAATTTCCGTTATATATACTAATTAAATTTGAAAGTATATATTACTAAATACTATCTTTAAATACTTCTAATTCCATATAACTATTATTTAATAGAATAAAAATTATATCACTGTACTCTGTATATAAAGGACTATCAGATAATACTAATTTCGAATTTATCAGACATCATTTGACTGTTGTCCCGTTGTGAAGATTTTCCTACTAGACTATGCCTGTAGCTAGGGGAATCCCCTTTCAGTCTACTTGGTAGTAGTTCTGACATTTTATATAAGCCAGAGTCCTCCTAAAAAATCTTCTAAACCATAGGGAGGACGGACAATTGTATCCTAGTGGCAGTTATATCTAAAATATATAAAAAGAATACTAATCATGTATACCACCTCCCTTATCATTTCAGGTACAGCTCGGTTTTACTAACAAGGCCCAGTCATCGTCGATTGTCCCCCCAGTTGGAGGTACAAAAGTCAAATTTGCGCTTCGTGGAACAGGACCAATAGACAGATACGACCCATTTTTGGGGACGAACCACCAAGCATGAAGGTCACCGGTGCCACTGAGATTCCTGGCATCTAGCCCGAAGGCTTGGCCCATGGGGACGTAGACTGTCACCCAAGTCCACCATCGGTCCCGAATCGCCATAATTTCGGCGTACTCCATCCCTGGACTCGTTGTGAGGAGGCTTCTATCGGGAATGCGATGAGTGCCTAAGTGCCGCTCCACGTATGACCTTAAATATTTAAATTGTCCACTTCCGGGCCGTTTTAACCCGTCAAACCATGTCTCATTGAGACCCGCGGTACTGTTAAATCGTTCAGGATTGGCAAATTGCCAGACAGCCTGTTCGCCGTATGTGACGCCGGCACTACCGGCGCAGAAAGCATGCCATGCTCCATTGCGGACAAACGACGAGTTCCAACGATAACTTCCATCCTCGTTGCGGCTGATGGAAGAATTCCAGTACTCGTAATGATTCTCTAGGTCCATGACAGGACGGGTTGGCTTTCGGTCATACATCTCCTTGACCGCGTTTTGGTTCGCTATAGGTACCCACTGGTACATGTAGTCTAAATTATAAAAAGAATGTGACTGGGGATTGAATCAGTCTAGTGCACATAGGAAAGAGGAAGACTTGTCCCGTTTACATACCTGAGAGCTATTAATATCACTATGACCTGTCTGCACACCATCCAATGATAACCATGTCTCGTTTCCGTACATAGCAGAGGCTGTGCTGTCCGGGAAAGCCGAGAACCATACACTAGTTCCATGATATGTCATGAAGGGGCGCAGGCCACGGCTTTGTAGCATAGGTAGCTCGGCACGGTATATAGCATTTGCCAGCTCATTAAATACGGGCCCCGAGTCAATAATCTCCGGTGTCCTGTTTGTTAGAGGCTGGGACATGCCATCCATGTCCATGTGAGTCCACCATCTACGGTACTGTGAGTCGTCGTCCGTCTAGAGTGGTTGTTAAGTGATGGGCTAGTTCGACGTACCTGTTACTATCACCGCCAATTATCTTCGGAAGTCCAGCGTATCTCTGCCCAATATAACTCCCGAATATGGCAGCGTTAGATATATTCAATACAACAGGCGGCCCGTGCCACCCTTCGTTGACCCATCTTCCCCATGCGGGTACCAGAGCAATCGTGATCCTGTATTTTGCAGCCATGTCGATAACTGTATCGACCCAATGAAAGTACGGCTCATTCGGCTTTCGGGGGTCATAGTCAATGAATGGAAGATCCCCGTTCTGGTTAGGCACAGTAAGGCCATCCTCCTCCGCGAGAATCGCACCATAGATGACATTAAACCCTTTGGCAGCACGGTCAGCCAGATAATACTCAACTTCTGTGATATTCAGGCGGTGAAATATCTCCCATGCGGTATCCGCTTGCCAGAAGACAGGATTGCCCTCACTGTCCGTTAATGTCCGCTGCGTTGATCCATCAACTTGGATAGCCAAGGACGACCAATCCTTGCCAGAAACAAAGGATATGGGGAGAGCAAGGAATAAGTAGATTGCGTCAAAAACCTTCATTGTCACCTTTGCGTTTGGGCTCACAACAAAGGGTCTGTTTAATCTACTCGGTTTCGTCCCTCGAGGGAAATAACGGCATCATTATTCTTATAAAGTAGCCAGTGGCAAAGTTCCAGGGGCGATAGGTGACGACTGGCGAAGACCTTTCGGATCTGCACGGTAAACTGCACGGTAAACGTATACGCAAGACACTTATATTACCGACTCCACCATAGAATAGTTTTACCTTTCCGGCACAAGGATTCATGACCGAACGCACTGCCTCGCCCAATAGCAATATATACAGTATCTGGCCAATTCGTGTCGTCAGTTACACCAGCTTAATGGGAAGACTATGGAATCATAGCTCTAGTAGGGGCTCCCGACGACAACTCAAATGGATTCTGGCCTACTAAACATGCATTGATTTTGGCTAACAGATCTTGAACGGGCTGGAGGCCAGTACTGGAATGGCATTACTAACTCCTATGAAAACTGTGCTATGCCATATGCGAGACGATTACCCACGCGAGCGCTAAACCTAAAACGGCTAGCTGTTGCATGGCGACGATGATCTTCCGTACTCGTACTCGTACACTAGAAGTTAAAAGGAGAGGAATGAGGGCAACAAAATGGGATGGATTAAAAATGTTGATTCGTCTGCTATTATCGGTTTTTCGTAGCATCGGTAAAAGGTCTTACGCTGGATAGTACAGACATCCATGGATCCATGGACACTTTGTTGCTGTGATCCAATTCATCACTTAGTAAGGATATACTGCGACACAGCCCTGGCCACAGGCTTTACCTAGGAGATGGTCCAAAAAGCGGAGCTGGTTTTGCTGACCAGAGGATCTGCGAAGCATCTGGCTATTTTTCCGATAAAGGAAATACTTGCCGCTGACCTGATGCCCATTAGTCCCGAAATATTTGTAAAATTCGTCAGTCACTACCCCTACCCGCCTCCCCACCACTTTCAGACTCAAGATCTAGCTGGGCTACATTCCCTGATATCCGCTCAGATACAGTTATGTAGGCTGCGAATAAAACACGACGGACAACTAATGCTATTTTAGAGCGATAGCATTTAAAGAGCCTTGACTCCCTTTGTAAGCATAATGGCCCATCAAGAACTCAGTTACGCCGTCAATACCAGGGAACTGAGAGAACGTCCGGACATTTTTAGACGAGGCTCCGTCTGAGTGGCAATGGTTGTGGAGTCTCGGTACACTATGTGAGGACGCCGAGAACTTAGGCATGCACTGTACTTAAAACAGCCCGGATCTTAGAAAGCTTTTTCTCTCCCGCACTGTCTGCCATGCAGAGGGCCCACTTACTATCCCTTCGGAGAGTTCAACCGCCCAACATCCCCTTCAGATGTTCCGATTAACCGAGTTACAAAATTAATAAATCAACAAGCCGTGAAGCAATTACCCAGATTGTCAAGAGGGATAGGGCAGTAGTCGATCAACAGTATATGACTGCTGAACAAGTCCGCAATTCCAATAGGAAGTTGGATCCGATTAATGGGGCTATAAACCCATAGAGAGTCCTCACACTTCCTGAGGGATTCAAGCAGGTCCAAGGATAGTAGACCAATCGATTCGGCAACCTCATCATACTCAGCCGAATCTGGCGCGAAGAGCTTCTCAATGGTGACCTTATGCACGGCGTATGCGACGAGAACTTCTGGAAAACCATCGGACACTGTTGGTCGAGCACTACCAGACTGAATAAAATAGGGCCAGAATGACGTCAAACAGCAGCTTCACCGAGTTCCAGGGAATTGCTCGCTATTCTACGTCATGGGCCCTGTTGGTGAAACCTGTTACGTGGATTATCATGGCGCTAATCGTCACGACAGGGGAAAATTACAGGATGGTGCAACCATATTTATTCCTCAGCAATAAGTGGCACTTATGTGTTCCGAAGGCTGGACTGGGGTACCAACGTGACCAAGGACTCCTTCAGAAGAGTTGTTTCTGCGGTAGTTACTAGCAGTTTCTTAACCAAGAGGAGGCTATCTCGCTGGTAATCAAACCAGAAATATCTAAGAGTCTTTCGGAGAGAGCCAAGCACTTTCTGGGCTTGCGCAGTCAGTATCCCTTGGGATCGAGATGCACTCCAAACTAATTCTAATACATTTGGATTTCTAATTATCCAAATACTATCAATATACTACTCCATATACTCCATCATAAGACAATATATGCGTTTGAATACCATTCCATATATCTTTAGTTATATGACATATAGCCTTTCTGGATGTTCTTTCAGCATTTCATAGTTTTATTGGATAAAATTTATTAACAATCTGAGTGCTGTCCTTGCCAGTGCTTTCTGCCTGATGAGTCCGCCTCTCTAGTAGGTTAACTAGCAGAGGTCTGTAACACAAGAGTATTTCTGATATCTTGATATTGGTGTCAAAGTATTATACCAGGGATATCAAATATCTGCGTGTCTGTGTATATACTGATATTACTGGTTTTAATCGCTTCAGTTGCTAATCTAATCCATTCTTCTAGTGAAGGCGCATATGGAGTGCTTGGTACGGGAGACAGAGATGAAGATATAGTAAGATTATATTCAGATATTTAAGGAATCTCGCGGCGCGTAGAGGTTGCTAGCGGCGGTAGTAAAGAAGAGATATGATAAATATCTTTTTTATTATATATTTTTTAACTACTTCTAAATTTTGTGATAGTTGAAATTAGCAAGAGATATAGAGATTAAATAGAGCCAAATACTGCTGAATTAGGCAATTGGTGGTCAGGTTGGTGGTCAAGTAAGTGGTTAGGTTGTTGGTGGTTGTGTTGGTTGTGAGCGCGTTGTTTTGGGCACTTCGGGTAGCCGGGTATGACTCTAGAGTATAGGTTAGGTTAGAATCAAAGCCAAGAAAAGTCTCCACATTACATGTCTGAACCCTGCGCTAGCTCCGTCGCTGTAGCACTTTTCCTCCCACACTCAGTTCTGTAAGTTCCATCGCACCTTTAGCAACAGTCACACCCAGCACTCAACATGCATCTAGACCACAAAATACCATGGAATACAGCAGCAACACACTTGAATATAATAAGATATAATCCTCGATTTACCCCCCGTCGCACCGACTTTTTTGCTCGCAACAAACCCTCAGAGTCCTCAGACCTCAACTATTTCCGCCGTATGCTGATTAGCATAATCCGCGAGTTCTCATCCACCGAAGCATCCAAGCCTCTTCTATCTATTCCTTTGGACAACCTTCTTTCTGATAATATACTTTCCTATCCCGAACAACAGCTTGGCCTTGGTCCTCATGCAAAAAACTCAGCCCTACACAACCCTCTGTCTTCTAAGCATCGAGATATCAATTATTGGATCGACAGTGCTAGCTCTAGTAGTAGCACTGAGCCATTACCCTACTCCAGTGCAGATGGCAGCCTCGCCGACGCAGTCAAAATGCTAATAATCATTGCTGCAAACACCGTGTCGACACAAATATCAAGAGAAGCTGTTTCTGTTCTGTTAATACTTTCTCGACATCCTCAGGTCCCCTTGCATACTCTCGCTAATATCCACTGGGGACATGCGTTTGGGGTAGAGATGATTGTGAATCCTGCATTGACGGTCTATATATTTATTAATCTGATGGATGCGGTGCTCTCCGACGAACAGTTGAAAGGCGATAATGGGAATATAATCTCACTCTTAGAAACACAGTCTTTTCAAGACTGGGCGCGTGATTCCCTTGCAAACTATGATTATCCGGCACAGAATATTCCCCATCGGAGATATTGGAACGAACTAGGGGTTACAGATGAGTGGGCTGCTCAGCAACGCTGCTACGAAGGCCTTTGGCTACCCACAGAGAGTCTAGGTATAATTGATCCACTAAAAGGAGAGGCTAAAGATATTCAACTCAGTTTACGGGAGTATCTGAAATCTTGTTTCGCTATATTGTATATATATGATATGCTATTAAAGGAATGGTATGGGGAAGAGGAAGCCGACGCGAAGTGGGAATACTGGATTGGTTATATCTTTGAATCTCGAGGGTGCAAGTTATAAATTGGTCCTTAAATGATCAACCAGTGGTTCTTGCTAATTATATCAAGCGATCTCTGTGCCTTTGTATGATAAAACATATATTTAATGTTAGTTTTGAAGATATCATATCCAGCCTAGCTATATATCTATATTAATAAGTGAGTCTAGGGTTTCCCTGCTCAAGTGGTACGACGCCCTGCTCGCAGGAAACCTCACCTAATTCCCCTCAAGCTACTACAGTAAGATAAGACATGTAAAGAGGCACAGCCAATATTTTACTGATCCTATAGTATAACATGTAACAACAGTTACCTCACTAAGAAGGAGCAGATTATCTACTCGGTTTATTTAATGGATAATTATATGTTTCTGTTTATTCCTTGGGGACCTCTTATTTTATACATGTGTCAAACCCTAGGATCGCTTCCCTGTCACTGTTAACTTAGCTTCACTAAGATAACGTACCGTCGAACTGGGTCGAAGGAGTATCAGGTCGATAACTATCTAAGGAACCACCGGTCAAGGAACAACTAGACTTGAACAAGACAAGAGAAATAGAGCCGAATAGTGCAGCGCAGCTATTCGTAAGTAAGTGCGGACGAGTGTTCTGTATCTAAGCTTCCAAATGTATGGTGTTGGAGCACCCACACCCTACTCTGGATGGTATTTGGTTCACGTGACGCGTAGCCGTTCTGGGCATTATTATTATTTTTTATTCTAATTAGCCAAGAACCATTTTTTATATATTCTACCCAACTCTAATTCTGGCAATTCTTTTTTCTTTTGTGAGAATATACTTAAATGTCCCGAAGGAGCGAATGATAAAGAGTATAAAAATATAGACCCTACTAGCTTTTATAAATATTTATTATATATAGAGGCCTGCACTGATTCTAAATACTAATTGTTACGGACCCCTGCTATTTAACCTGTTAGTAAGGCGAACTCGTCGGGCAGAAAGCGCCAACAAGGACAGCGCTCAGGCGATCGCCAATTCTATAGCGGTATTTACATACATATATAAGTTATGCTATCTCTGCCAGAGATCCAACTAGCCCCAGTCTCTACTCCGTATATTATGAGAAAAACGTAGAATCCTGGCATTGAAAAATCAAAGTAGATTCTGATTCGAGCCAGGCTCAGCACGACTTATTCCAGTATAGCTCCGTAGTGAAGATGAAAGACGTCGTGAATTTAACAGCAGACTTACAGTGATGATAGCGCTGGCGCTACACTTATCCGGTATTAAAGTATATACTATCTATTGTTGCACGCACTACGTGAATCAAATGAGGCCACAATCAAGCAATCCTTCCTGGGGTGATTGCTTAACTATATGACCTCTACAGTACATCACTGACAGCACTGAATTACAAGCGTGTAGATTCAGCATCTATAGAGCTTCTTCTACAGTACAAGGCCAGAAGCTTATTAACTGTTCCACTCTAGCAATAATTTGCCTCCCTTCATCCAGTATTTGAATTATGTATTTGGCAATATATGCAATATATCCCAGGAGAAGTTATTCCATCCTGTGGATAGTCTGCGTACTGTAACCAGGCTGCTAATAACGAATTTATAAAAGGCCTATCCCCTTCTCTAAAGCGGCACGCATGATAACGCATGAATATATACCACAGGCATGCTGTTAGCACTGTCCTCAAGTAGAAAGACTGAATCAGCTTTTATCTATTCTATATACTTATATCTGTTCTTATAGAGAATAAGCAGTAGATAAGATAAGACAAGGATTATTAAAGCTTATATAAAATAAACATATTATTTATTAGAAATTACATTTTTAAATCTCTTTTTATTGTACTCACAGATTCTAAATAAGTAGATATAATCTGGATTTATATACTTTATTATAATAATCTGATACTTATATTTTATTTATTACAGGACCATAAGCTGGATAATATTGATAAGAATAATAATAATAACTGTAAATATATTTATTATTACTATTATAGTAATTGCTATTATAGACCAGCTCCGGTATCATATTATATGTGATGGCAAGCGGTATTCAGAGGCACATGACTGGATTATATAACATAATTCTATTTACTTTATTTATTTTATCTTATTTATTTATTTTTATTATTTATCTATATTCTTTATACTTTCTTCTTTCTCTTTTTATATTTAATATTCTAGTTTAGAAATCCTAAATAAAATATATATAATCAGCTTTTATATAATGTTAAATATTACAGCTACTTATTCTTTCTTTAATTAATACTATACGCGGCTAGTTATTCAGTAAGATTACTAGTATTTCTCCGACGTATATTTAGTAATACTAAAATAACTAAAATAAAATAATCTAAATTAAATCTCCAGAAATTATTAACTGACTGACTTTGAATAATAATAATTAGAAAAAGCTACATTAAATTAATCTTATATAAAAAAAATTTATAATAATACCTGATTAATCTATTAAATAAAAAATTTAATAATTATAAAGAGATTATCCAGGAAGAATGTAATAAGATATATAAGAAAAATTTAAAAAAAAATCTTTAATTTAGTTTTTAATTTTATAAATAAAATAAAATAAAAATAAATATTATAATTAAATAGTATAATATCCTAATCCAGAAGCAGAATAATCTAGTAAAAAAATATAATAAAAGTTTTTAAAAATATAATATATAAATAATAATAATAATATACTATTTTATTTATAATAAGTTAATAAGCAGAGAGCTGATGCTCCAGAATTAAGAAAATTTTAGAAAATTTTTAATTTTTCTGTATTTAATAATAGAAAGATCTTTATTTTTGTTTATTAATTTATTATAATATAATAGAAACTGAATATAAATATAAATTATTTAATTATTTCAGTTATTCAGTGCCTGTATATAAATAACTACTATAAAAATAATATCTAAAAATGTTTAATATTCTGATTTTCTTTTGAATTTATTTATATTTATAGAAATTGTGTTTATATACTAGAATATCTTGAAATAATTTTTATTGATTTAAATAAAACCCGCAACGCCCGCCGCCAGTATTAGAAATTAAAGATAATATCTGAAAAAAAGTTTTATAATTTAATTATTATTTTCTGATATTTAACAGTGGAGACTAGTATTATTAAAATTTTAAAAAAATAATTATATTTTATTTTATAAATAATAAGATGGACTCTAATCAGTTTACTAAAATTTATATTAATATATTAGATTTTATTAATTAATTAAAAAAATATTTAGAAAGAATAGATTTATTATTCTGTTATTTTTTATTAATAATTTTTAATAATATTATTTCTATTACTTCTATTCTTACTAATAGCTAAACTTAAACTGCTAATTATATTTAAGTCTGAAACTAGAGAATTATATTTATAGAATAATTAAAGAATAATACTTTACCTGCTGTAAGTAAAATTATATAATGAAAAATTATTTGTAAAGAAGACAGTCCAGATTAAATAAATAAAAGATTTTAAAAAAAAGATACATAGATAAAAAATAATATTTAGATAAAATCTTTATTTCAAATAAAATAAAAATCTATTTAAATATATTAAATCTACGGGATCTGTTAGACCAGGAAAATAAAAGTTTTATAATTAATATTTTAATATTAAAAAGTAAATTAATAATATTTATTTATACTCTTATAAATACGAAAGTAAATATCTTTATTTATATAAATATTAATTTTATTATTAACCAAATCTATTACTTACAGAGTAAGACTATTTTTTAAATACAGATTATACATTATAAAATTTATAAAATATAAACTTTTATTAGATTATTAATATTAATAATTTATTTAATCAGATTTTTTATTATTATAAAATAATATTAAAATAGACTTGTAATATTAGATTCTTTTAAATATTTTAATTTTATATTTAATTAATCAGAGCCACCAGTAGA